CTAACAGTAATGAAGAATACGAACGAGGAGGATGATACCAACTGAACAAATACACTAGCGAGGAACTGATTTCAGGTCAATTAAGTGGTCTGCGATTGATAAATAAGCTGAAATGTGACCGGTTTGACGTAGGGATAAAAGAAACACTAAAGTTGTGTGGATACGCGCTCTTCATGAAAGTAGGCATCAAAAAACAAGTGTCTGCATTGTCAATAAACCCCATCGAAAAATTCGATGGACCGTTTGCGATCGACAACAATCCCAGTCATGTTCCTGGTGCGCCACTTATCTAGTTGATGTGCTAACTTGCATATGTACATTATTCCCGGAAAGATCATTGCAACTGAAAAAGTCGTTACAGCTGAACTAAGCAGGTTTTGACAAGTCATCACATCTTTTTGTTTTAATGAAAGTGAACGAAAAGTACAGTTATTCTTTGACCTTTTCCGCAAACACCACTTTCACTACAACAAAAAGACGTGATTACTAGTCAAAACCCATTTATTTCAGTTGCAATGACTTCTTGCATTGAAGTGCAAGTTTGTCAAACGTTTAGTTCCAGTTTTACCATATCATTAAGTTCCAGTTTTACCATACATATATCACAATTAATATGCTCATCATTCAAACTTCTCATATGATCAGTTCACAAAACACTCGTCAACATCAGTTTACCTGCACTTTAAAACTTATTTCTTTCAGTTCGAAACTTTATTACACTTCAACTTTGTCTGATTATTCATTTCCAATCAAATGAATCCTTCGATATTTTTCAGCACACTTCTTGACCACTTCTGCGACCATCAATTACTTCAGGCTTCGCATCCCGAAATCTGAGAAATGCAATACCTCGTGATGACTTTGAGTGTCTTATTCATCGAATACTCTCAATCCTACAGAATTCTGATCTATGCACCAAAAATATTCCACAGTCATTTCAATTTCATGGGTCACATCGCAGATGCTTTAGTTACGGCAGGCCATGAAATTGTAAGTTATCAAGTCAACATCCCTTTTTATCAATATCCCCGTCATCATCTTACTCGTAATAAATCCACTCAGCATCAATGATTCTTACCATTCACAACTGGTTCAATATAATAATATAGCAGTAACAATGATCACTTTCATTCATAAAATTGATTTAAGGTATTTTATACGCCGGCTTACGATAGCAGTATATCATCGAATGGTACTAAACTGGCGAGAAAAATGGAAAGGCGATCAGATTTTGAGACATTATCACGTCAACGGGAACAAATTTTTTTGAGTACTTGGGCACATGGACTTGTCGAACTGAGAGACGCTTTCAGAGTTAGTCAATTTTATCGGCGAATATGCGGAATTGTAGGCTGCAAGTGTAAATGCATTCTTTGTCGTCGTTGGCCATAATGTAAATCAGGTGTCCAGTGTTCCTTTCCATGTTGTTCAAAACCGTAATTGGTCACATTCATCGTACATATGCGGAATTCATATCAACAGTTTCAAATGAATATAAATTTCAGTATTTAAATAATTACATCAAGAGATTTCAAATTTTCAGATGACCAAATGGCTCATAACGGTTGAAGATCAATTCTGTGAAAGTAAGGGCTTATTGAAATTTGAGTATTGATAAGAATATTAGAACGAAAAGGATAAATACGAACCGGGAGAGTGATATCAATTGAACAAATACACGAACGAAGAATTCATTTCAGGTCAATTAAGTGATCTGCGATTGATAAATAAGCTGAAAGGTGAGCGGTTTGATGTGGGGATAAACGAAGCACTAACGTTGTGTGGATACGCGCTCTTCATGAAAGTAGGCATCAAAAAACAAGTGTCTGCATTGTCAATAAACCCCATCGAAAAATTCGATGGACCGTTTGCGATCGACAACAATCCCAGTCATGTTCCTGGTGCGCCACTTATCTAGTTGATGTGCTAGCTTGCATATCTACACTGACACCTGCTTCCTTATAAACATTGTTGGGCGCGCTATTGAAAAACGATAGCGTGCTTTCGCTATTCCGTTATGGAAAAGAAGTCCGCTATTCCGCTATCGCTATCGTTATTATCTCCGTAGCTGAAAGCGGAGCGCTATCGGTATCGCTATTCAGCTATCGCTATTGCCTACTTTAAAAACCTTACGGCACTGAATGATTGAAAATTTTCATTGATGAATACCCATTTTTGAAATAAATATGAAACACACTAACATGACGGATCAAAATTCATTCAGGTATATTTGGTCGGAATTCAGATAGAATGACTTTTGTGGAGCGGGTCGAGAATATGATTCGATTATTGATAATGAACACTATCGCTGAAACCATCGTTTGGCCACGCGTTGTGAAGCACTATCGCAAAAATTTCCGCCCAAATTTCAATCGAACCGCTGCATTTGTATCATTTGTTTATTCCATTCTTCAAGTTTGACACAACTAACTGAACAAATCAGAGAGGGAAGCAATTTCAAGAATTTCGAAGCTTTCAGAAATTTTCAAAAAATCGTTCTCAGTTTCCTAATTACTCGCAAAAATCGGTTAAATAATCAATGAAAATCTCAATTGAAGGCAATGATAGACCGTTCACCATTCATACTCGCTAATTCTAACGAACTTATCGAATTCCCTCGTGCAATCAACCGTAAAGTGGTATATGTGGGTGGTATTGCCGTTGATCAGCCTCAGCCTCTCAACAAAGTTAATTTTCAAATTCGCATTCTTCAACAATCATTCCAAAACAATATTTTTCATCAAATAAAAGCGAAAAATATCTGAACTGTCATTCCAACGAAAGCTGACCACTTCCAC